TCAGATTAGATTTATAATCTGAAAAAAATCTGAACTGAACTGAAAATTTTCAGATTGAATTTTTTGCAATCTGAAACCAAACTGAAGTTGATCTGAACTGAAAATTTTTAGATTAATCTGAACTGTTCAGAGCTTTACGTCTGCTACCTACTTGTTAATGCAGAATAGAAAGGGGGTATAAAAAATTAGAAGTATGCAACTGACTTTACATTCAGCCTAAGTCTTCATAGAATCTGAAAAGTTGTTATTATAAAGAATGAGCTAGTTTTATATTATCTCAGGAGTGATGATGATGAATTTGCTCTAAAGCTAAAATTTGTAAGAAAGGAGTTCATGTTAATAACTGATCCAGAAAGGGTTGGTTGTCCACCTCAAAGCATATTATCCATACATATTGCATATGCTTTTCTTATCAATAACAAGCTAGATCAAGCTATTGATTATGCCAGAAGACGTGGTGGTCAATGTCTAGAAAGGACTGGACGAATAAATGGTCATAACATATATCTTTAGTCTTGTGAGAATGGTGTACATCAGTGGGAGTATCCACTAAAATATATCATGAAAAAATACGAATGGTGTTCACTATATCACCATATAAGTGATAAACGTTAATGCCGATATATTTTTAAGGATCTGCTAGGTAAGAAATTCCTGCCATTTAGGACTAAGTTCTTAGATGGGCTACATTTGGATGGATATAATAAGGAATTGCATTTTGCATTTGAATTCCAGGGTCCTCAGCATTATCATCACAATAGCTTTTACCACTGGGAGAATAAAAATCTAAAATCACAAAATATGCACGATCAGAAGAAGTAGGATATATGCAAGGACCAAGATATATACTTTATCGAAGTACCATACACATATGACCTTTCTTTATATTAAGCACACACTTATCGAGAAAGGATTCTTGAAAAATTCTTCAAGTTAGGTTAAAGAGAATTATCTTTTTGGTATTTTTCTGAGACCACGTGGTCCTGCAAATTTGCAAGATTATTTTAGAATATCATTAGTAATAGTTCAATATGAAAATAAAAAAGTTTGAACCAGTTGATAGGCTTGTATACCATATTAATGAGATTAAAGATGCCAAAATATATAACGGTCATTCGAGTGTCTCCTAATGGACTTTCACTTTACTAATCTCTGAATGTATTAATTCAGGAAAGACTAATAAAATTCTCAATCTCATACTTAGAAATAAGCTTTATCGAATGTTTAATGGAAAGAAAGGAGGAACGCATTATATCAAGAATGATAATTTGCTATTAATTAGTCACAATCTTAAAGAGCTGAAATATATGTATCTTAGTGACTTTTACATTAATTAATATTAAAATGGAATCATGTAAAAAATAAATATGTCTGCTAAATTATCTTTAAAAATTGCAAAGCAGATTGCAAAGGAACAGGGAAGGAATTGCCTTTCCAAAGAATATGTTAATTGTACAGTTCTAATAGATTGGATTTGTGAAAAAGAGCATATTTGAACTACTAGACTTAATAGTATAAAAAATAATAAAACTTGGTACCCAGTTTGCAAAGATACCTGATTAAACATTTTAGTTGCTAAAGAGTTAGCTTTGAGTTAAAGTAGAAAATGTCTTTCAGAGAATTACATTAATAATCGTACTCCTTTGCTATAGACATGTAAAAATCATCATCAATGGTATTCGTCTCTTTCTCAAGTTAAAGACTCTGGACATTGGTATTGCAGATGCAATTATAATAATATTGAAGTTGCAAAAGCATTAGCTTATACTAGAAATGGAGAATGTTTTTCTTTAGAGTATTTGGATAATAAAAGTCCTTTATAGTGGAAGTGTGTTAAGGGGCATATATGGACTGCAAATTTAAATAAAGTAAAAGATTGCAATCAGTGGTGTCCTACTTGTAGTGGGTGAAATCGGACTATATTTGATATGAAAATTCTAGCACAAAAAAATAATGGAGAATGCCTTTCAGATCAGTATTATGATACATACACAAAGCTTTTATGGCGTTGCAAGAATTTTCATACATGGAAAGCTCCTCTACTAACTATTCTGAGAGGTAGCTGGTGTCGATACTATACTGGTACTGCAAAACTTAATATTGAAATTGCTAAACAAATTGCATTATCGAGACAGGGCCAATGCCTTTTAGTGGAATACAAGAATATAAGCGTACCACTTCTATGGGCTTGTCAATATAATCATCAATGGTAGTCCTCACTTAGTAGTATAAAACATTCTGATACATGGTGTCCATACTGTGCAGGTATGGCCAAACATACTCTTGATGATGCTAAACAAATTGCTCTCACTCGGGGTGGTAAGTGTCTTTCAACAGAATACAAAAATAATAAATCTCCTTTATTATGGATCTGTAGAAATCAACATAAGTGGTATGCAAAATTTGATAATATTGTGAATAAATGCTCATGGTGCCCGTATTGTAGTAAGTATAAACGTGAAAATCTATGCTGTCAAATCCTAACAAAATATTTGGGCCCTCCATCAGAAAATCATAAGCCTGATTTCTTAAAAACACCAGAGCATTCGATGGGGTTACAACTTGACATTCCTTATTATCACTATGGGTTTGCAATTGAAGTACAAGGAGAACAGCATGATAAATATATAGAATTCTTTCATAGAGGAGACCCGAGTAATTTCATCAGACAGCAAGAGCGGGATCAACTCAAGAAAGAATTATGCAAAGAAAATTGCATCGACCTAAAATACATCTGGTATTACGAAGACCCACACATAGTTATTCCAGAACATCTTCGAGAACTGGGCCTTATAGAATAAAGACAAAACTTTAAATGCTTGTATTACATTAAAATCCTTATTTTTTCGATATAATAATTTCATGCTAAACCCAATCAAAATGAGAAAAATGGAGTATTATATATACCATCTTAATGAGACTAAAAATTCAAAGAATATGAATCACCCAGCGAGTCCTGCATTTCCTTTTCGTTTGTTAATTTGCGGTGGGTCAGATAGTGGGAAAACTAATATGATTCTTAATCTTCTTCTTGGAAATAAAATCCAGCGCTTGTTTAAGGAAAAGAAAGGGGAGCTGTATGTCAAAAATGATGATCTAGTCTTAATCGGAAAGCATATCCATGAACCCAAATGGGTATTTGCTATGAAATTTTTGCAAAGGGTCCAAAAGAATATCGAGAGAATGTAACATTTCGTGCGTTAAAAGCAAATGCAATCCCAAATATAACTAAGTTCTCACCAGATAGAAACACTGTTGTAGTCTTTGAGGATCTTTGCGCTGAATCAAAAAAAATTCAGGATCGGATTGTTCCATATTTTATCAGTGGCCGACATCAAGGTGTATCAAGTATATATGTGAGCCAAAAGTATACACAAACTCCTAAAATTATTCGCGAGAATATCACCCATTTAGTTTATTTCGAGGCTCAGGAAGCCGGGACGATATTCATAGAATCGTGCGTCAATATACGGATGATCCGAAAAAGGCATCCAAGATTATTGACAAGCACCTGCGAGATCGAAATTTTGTGGTCTTCGATTTCACTAGACCAGTAGATGATCCATTAGCGATTAGGCTAGGTTTGGGATGCGCCTTTAAAATTGGATTTGTAAGATTTTTACACACGTTGTTCTGCAAATTATCTGATCAGTGAAAATTTTCGCTGGCAAACGTATATGTAACGTAATAGGTGCATAATATATTAAAATTTGATATCAAATAAAAAAAATTTTTTTCTATTGCCTAAATAAAAACGTACAACCATCCTAATCACTGAAAATATTTTATTTTTATATTATAAATTTATTCCGTGATAGTTAGAATTAGACGGTTCCAGTTAGTAATTTACGAAAAAATTATTTTATTATTTTTTTTTGGTTTTCTTGGATGGGGAAGCAACTGGTAGTCCCGAACTTGGAAGTCGAGTCACTTTACGTGGCTTTTTAATAAGTTGACGATAATACTTAATCATTCGTACCTATACAATAGTATTATGGAATGAGGAACCATAAACATCTATGGATTTAAATAACATAGAGCTTACCTTAAATTTTTTCACTATTTCGATGACTTTTCCGATCTGCAACAAGTCCACACCAGAATCTGGTACGACGAAAGCATCATATTCGTCTACGATGTACATTTCATCAACCAGATGCATGCTTAGAAGATGATACTCACGCCCTGTTCAAAATGATCAAGTCAATCAGAGGTTTTTGAAAAAAAAAAAATCGGAACTATAAGCACTTACCGAATACCAAAATTGCAATTGTGGGTATTCACATCATCAGATTGATGTACACGTTGATAGTATAATGATACCATCATTGCTATGATTAGTAGAGAAATGAAATTAGTTAGGTGTCATGTTTTATAGTTTCTCCAGGTCGTAGTTTTTGTCGGAAATATCCGTAGTGAATGCACTACCAACAACTTCAAAATAACCAACGCTAATTTTTACACCATTGATATTCATGTATAATATACCGTCGTGCTTGTCACCGAGTTTTCCACGTTCATCTTCCTGCTTGAAAAATTTCGTTGTCGTTTTCGTGATTGGTTTTCGATTTCTCCACTAGTTTATCATCAGTAAGAATATAATCAGCAAGAATATAGATTCACAGTTAGGAATGACAGCTTTCAGTTCGAACACTAACGTTTTCATCCACAGCGCATCCTCAACATCATAAAAAATTGACGCAAGAAGAGGGTTTACGATATCATCTCGGTATTTAAATTCACTAGATTCATTATCAAGCAATGCACTGTGTTTATGCAATAGTTGGAGAGTCCTGGTTTATAAGGAAATTGGTTATTTCATTTGCCAGTTACAACAATGCAAAAGACACCTACTACAAAACTTACATCTGCGCATAAATATTTTGAAGCCAAAGCATCTCATAATTTTTCGGTGATCATATTTGTCGAACTTCTGTTTTGTAAAAGAGGTCATAAGACCGTTGAGATCGACATAAAGCGTATCCTCATCTGAATTTTCTTTAATGATTTGATGGTTATCGTCCACCAATTTTTTTAATGGGCATTCGTTCCAGCACTTTTCAATCTCTTCTTTACTAATATATGCTTCGGCCTCATTGTTATTAAAAGAATATATTTATTAGTTCGATGTCCATAGCTCTCATCTAAGTATAAAAATAAGCTTACCTCTGTCCATTTACTCTTCATCATGCGTATCTGATCTGTTGATAATTTCATAAAGAGTTGTTTTGTGTATGGGAATTCAATATCAAAGAGACAAACAATATTATAATTTTCCAGGTGCGACTTTGTGTTTATACTCGCCAGCACCTGACCAAATTCACGCTTAGTTCCAGTAAGTGATAGAAACGCATTGGTAGTACGGTAGAAATTAAGATTACCTCTATCTTCGGAGTATTAAAGATATCCACTTCTGCCTGAGTAAACGTTTCTTGATCATCACTTGGGATTCTTCTGAATTTGTTCTTTCCGACATCCGATCTATATTATAGTCTACTTTTTGCTTCTTTCTTAAAGCATAATAATGACTTTGTTCCGATGTGGCAGACTCATCCTAGATATATCGAAAAATCTGAAATTAATTGACTACTGATTTTTCTGCAGATCGGATTGTAGCAGGGTTACCGTGCAGGAGACGAAGTCCCACGGGCCCCTACAGTCAATATTCTTACTTGAAATCGCATCTTTAGGTACTTCGCTTTCTCTTGTTCGTCTACTGCACCGTTTTCTATGAACCATTCGACTTGTTCAATAAATCTTGTTAAAATTGATTTATCTAATACTAATCCATCGTTTTTCCAGAAGACATGATAATCAAGTGGAGACCAATCGCATACTGGCGTTTTAACAAAGTAATCGAACCCAACTCCGTCAATAATACTAGACATTTCACACTACAAACTAAAACGATATGATTTTTTTTAAAAGTTAAACAAGTTAAACGCGTCAAAATATATGATTATCACGAGAGATCATTTTGCGGAATTCGTCATTTCACATACTTGAACTATCATGTGACATGTGGACCGCGACGCAGTTTTATTTATTGAACACGTTACACGTCTGAAAGTCTTATCTTAACAAAATTATCTCATCTTTGTTCATAAGCAGACTTTTTTTTACGATTACGATTAAAAGTGGCATCATCTCACATCACGAAATTCTAATTAACTATCAAGGTCTGCATTAAGGCGGAATCGTGTCATCATGAGCAGTTACTACACATAAAATATTCGGGAGAGTGAATATAAGTCAATCCCTGAGGATGGATTAACAAATACTTTATTTTTATAAAAAAAGTGTTAAACTTTCTCAAATCTGGATATCAGATAATTGCAAATAGTCCAAAGCCCTATCGTGAAAATATTACATTCCGAGCTTTGAAGCCTGATAAAATCCCTAAGGTGGATTCATTTTCTCCGGATAGAGGTACAGTGGCCATATTTGAAGATGTATGCGCTGATCCGAAAAAAGTGTAGGAGAAGATCATCCCTTATTTTGTTGAGGGACGCCATTACAATTTCAGTTCGATATATGTATCGCAGAGTTACTTTGACTGTCCAAAGATAATACGAAAAAATCTCACACATGTCTGCCTATTTAACGGGTCATGCACTACAGATGAGCTAGTCAGAATTGTGCGTCAATATGCTAATGACTGGCGTAGTGTGATTAAGATTATTGATAAGCATTTATGTAAGCAAAAATTCATTGTTTTTGATCTAACTGTACCTCGTGAACATCCACACAGAGTACGTCTTGGCTGGAATATACCTCTCATTAATGAGTAGAATTTTCTTAGGTACTAAGGACGAAATGTATATTTTTTCGGATTTCTAGATTATGTTCAGATTCACTACGCCTCTTCACCCATAATTTCCTTTCATGAGTGCTAGAATATATTTCTAATTGTATAGTCATATCACTATGCTCTGTTTTGGAAAAGATCTGATCAACAAGAGTGATAATTTTCCTATCCTTAGTAATAATATCCTCCAGATTCTGACATTTATTCTTTATCATGTCAATGGATTTTTCGGCAGACGCAATAGCTTTTTTTGTATCAGAAATTATACTTTTGAAGATAGCTACCAAATCTGATAATTGGGTGACTTTCCTACAACTCTCTTCCAAAGACCTGGTCATGGCTACCTCACGAGACTTATATTACTCTTGCAAGTCGAGAAGCTCTTCAATCTTTTTTTCCAATACCTGCTTTGATATACACAACTTCTCATTTTCTTTCTTAACAAATTTTTACAGTCACTGGTAATAGGCTTCATCTTTTGACGCTCTTTCTGCTTAATATAATTTCAACCGCCTTATTTAACAAATCTTCCACTTCAGGATAGATACTACTTGCCTGTTCTAGCGATAATGGATGTTTTCGTAATGTAAGACATCGCTATGTATCAATTTTTATTGAACGAGAAAGTTAGTTAAGTTGCTTTGAGTAATATACGTGAAAAGATGGTATTAGTATATCAGTCATATCTTATAGATAATAAAAAAACTTTGAGAATTTTATAGATTCAGAAATTTTATAAGAAAAAATTTTGAGAATTTAAGGATTCTACACATTTAGGGAATTCAAAGAATTCTGAGAAATTTACACGTTAATGTCGCGAGAGATCTGCTAGAAAGTTTTAATCAAATATGCACATGATACCCAATCATTGGTCAACAAGAAAAGATCATTTTGGCAGGGGTACTCCAGCTGAAATTTCGCCAAATTAATACATGATCATGTCTTTTATGATACAGATAACAAGTTTTTTATTAATTCATTTTGCGATAGCTTGTCTTTCAATTTCGCAACTTTGGTTTTAAGCTCAATATTTTCAGCCTTAATTTTATTGTTCTCAACCTTAAGCTTGATAATAGATTGTTTTAACGAATCACTCTCACTAGGACTATCTATTTCAGATTACATGCTTGTGTAATGTAGTATTAGTATATTAATATTTAAAAATAAAAAATCATGTGTTTTTTGAGACCGCATAGTCCCGCAAATTTGTCAAAAAAAATTTTATTATCTGATACATGCCACCCACACGAAAAAATATGAATATATATATGAAATCAACCTCCAAGATCACTTTATTAATATAGGAAAAAATGATATTACATATATAGTTTTATCTATTTAGAATCTACATTTGAACTGTCTTTATTTCTTTTGGATCTAA